AACAGTCAAGTTAGGGAAATGATGTATATATATATATATACATATATATATATATATATATATACACAAATCATGAATACAGGTCTTGAAATATTTTAAGTCCTTAAACTTGCATTCAAAAAATAGCATCTTCATGAGTTTTATGACATATTTATGACATGAAAATTAGTTTGACATTATTTAAACAAAAGCTGTGATGATTAACATGAAAATGTTAATATTGGTCACTAATAGACATTGTTAGTAAATGGAACTCACATTGACATAATGTAATACCATAAAAATCTAATCATATTTAAACTTGTTTGAATTCTTTATGTTTTATCAAATTCTTTAAAATTCTTTAAAACTTTAAAAAACATTAAATAATTAAAAATTATATATATTTTATTTGCATTATTTAAATCTATGTACAAATCTAAAACTTTCCCTAAATCACGCAAATCATGAAAAATAATAATGCAGAAAAATATATGAAAATATAAAAATCTCTGTTTAACAGGATACATGAATGCATTATATCTGAGCATAATATACTTTGTTTGTTTGACAAGATAAAAAAGAAGAAAAATACATTTTTTACAGCCTGCATGCTTTTGTTTACACAAACTACTAGTAGTGTTTACAAACAAATGCAACAAATTAGTTATTGCAACAGAAAAAGAGGAGCCGGTGGATAGAAGGTTCAATAATGTATACAATTTATAAATGGAAGTTTTCTGCTTGAATGTTCTTGCTTGCATCAATCTGACCACCGCTAGAGATAAAAATCTCTGATTAACCTTATATAGCTATCACCAAAAGGTATTTCAAAAATTCACAGTTGAAACTAACTTGTAAAAATCTGCTTAGACGCCGCTCTTTTGGTATTTTTTAATCGAATTATTATAATTTATTTCATCATTAAGGTTTTGGCTACTAGATATCTTATTCTCACCAAATTAATGAAGGATATGTGGATTTTTTGATACCAAAGTATTTTCCATGTTTCCTTAGAGAATAAATTGTGTACTTAGGAAAGCCATACTAACATTCAAAGATGTCAGGATTTGTCCCTCGATAGGAATCAATTACATTTTTTAAAAGTTCAAAGCAGCATAAATAATGGAAGTATCAAATGTTTATAATTATCGGGAAACATTTTCTTCGATTATTGAAAAAAATCGTTTACTTTATCCATTTCATTTATTCACAAAAAAAAAACCCCACAGGAAATCACTGCTTCCGTTTGTAAAGCTCTTTGGTCTATATTTCATTGCATTAAGCTTTTGGCGTTAATGTTGATAATAAATGTTTATATCATATCATTTCATATAATAATTAAGATAATCATAAAAACCAGAAAGATGTTTGAAACTAAGTTCACAATAAATAGACATCTGGTTAGTATCTAACCTTTAAAAAATTGTATCATATGGAAAAACTGGCAGGGGATGTTTTCTAAAATATTAAGTTAGCAGATCTTCAGATTGATCAGGGTCCGTTATCTTCACCATTTTAACCTTGACCTTTTCAGTCACATGCAGGTTTTTAGCTCACCTGAGCCGAAGGCTCAAGTGAGCTTTTCTGATCACATTTTGTCCGTCGTCCGTCCGTCTGTAATTAAACTTTTCACATTTTCGACTTCTTCTCAAGAACCACTGGGCCAATTTTGACCAAACTTGGTACACAGCATCCTTGGATAAAGAGGAATTTAAATTCTTAAAACGAAGGGACATATTCCCTCGCAAGGGGAGATAATCAAGAAAAGACAAAAATAGAGTTGGGTCATTAAAAAATCTTCTTCTCAAGAACCACTGGGCCAGTGAAGCTGAAACTTATGTGGAAGCATCCTGGGATATTTTATATTCTAAATTATACAAATCATGACCGCCGGGGTTTGGGCTGGGCCACAATAGGGAATCAATGACACAGAAATATATATGTAAAAACTTTAAAAATCTTCTTCTCAAGAACCACTGGGCCAGTGAAGCTGAAACTTATGTGGAAGCATCTTAGTGTAGTGTAGATTCTAAATTGTTCAAATCATGACCCCCGGGGGTTGGGCGGGGCCACAATGGGAAATCAAAGTTTTACATAGAAATATATAGGAAAAATCTTTGAAAATCTTCTTCTCAAGAACCACTGGGTCAGAAAAGCTGAAACTTATGTGGAAACATCCTGGGGTAGTGTAGATTCTAAATTGTTCAAATCATGATCCCCCGGGGGTTGGGCGGGGCCACAATGGAAAATCAAAGTTTTACATAGAAATATAAAGGAAAAATCTTTGAAAATCTTCTTCTCAAGAACCACTGGGCCAGAAAAGCTGAAACTTATGTGGAAGCATCTTAGTGTAGTGTAGATTCTAAATTGTTCAAATCATGACCCCCTGGGTGTAGGGCGGGGCCACGATGGGGAATCAATGTTTTACATAGAAATATAAAGGAAAAATCTTTGAAAATTTTCTTCTCAAGAACCACTGGGCCAGAAAAGCTGAAACTTATTTGGAAGCATTCTGGGGTAGTGTAGATTCTAAATTGTTCAAATCAAGATCCCCGGGAGTAGGGCAGGGCCACAATGGGGAATCAAAGTTTTACATAGAAATATATAGAAAAAATCTTTGAAAATCTTCTTCTCAAGAACCACTGAGCCAGAGAAGATGAAACTTATGTGGAAGCATCCTGGGGTAGTGTAGATTCTAAATTGTTCAAATCATGACCCCCAGGGGTAGGGCGGGGCCACAATGTGGAATCAATGTTTTACATAGAAATATATCTGAAAAAAAAATCTGAAAACCTAAGCTGAAGCTTATGTGGAAGCATACTGGGGTAGTGTAGATTTCAAATTGTTTAAATTATGATTAGTGGGGTAGGGTGGGGTCACAATATGTATTACAAGGGGGAAATCTGGTAAAGAACAGAATGGCCAAAGCTTCTCAGGTGAGCGATGTGGCCCATGGGCCTCTTGTTATGCTAATGAGCTACTTTAATACAGCAATGACTTTTTAAAATATAGAATTATGGTACTTTGATAAATGAAAGATGTGTTAGAGGTATTTCCAACCGAAAAAATCGGAAAATCAGTAATTGCAGTCGTAGAAATTAATGTTCTGCTAGAAAAGTAAATAAGTACTTGTTATTTACAATACTCTAGATTAAAAAAAAGGTTTATTCAAGACAGTAGATCGTTGTTGCGTTTGCGGACTTCTGTTTTATCTATTTATAATAATATTCACTTAAATAAAATTAAAAAAAATTAAACCTGAAAATGAGTCAAAAAGCAGGTCAATTTAGTTATCTGTAAAGAAGAATACGTCATGAAAAGGGTATGGTTAACTGTTGCTTATATAGTAAAAACAGAAGAAGGCAGTACAAAATTAAAATACATGTAGTAACTTATGAACTCATGCATTGCAAACCAAATAATTAAAAGCCGTGTAGAAACTTTTTAAATGGATTGGTTCATGAAATAGAAGGGGATCACGAACAGTATTCAAGCTCAAAAGTTTATCAAACAATACAAAATAGGAGCAGAACTACACAGACTTCCTAAACATCAAAGGTGGGATCAGGTGCCATGGAGGAGTGAACATCCAATGCCGACCAGTAACATCCGCGGTGTTGACTTTGTTATAATCGGGAAAAAGCAGATCCGTCGTCAATGCAGTGTGTAAATAATGGCGCAATTAGTATGAAAAATGTTAGTCAGCATTTGACTCAATGATAAACAATATTTACTAGCAAGGTCATTGTATCGACACTAGAATTCGAACTTACAAAATAATGACTTTAAACCTGGCTACTGATATTTTTTCTTTCATCAACTTTGTTTCTCAATAATTTACCTTGTTTGCGAAAGTGTTCATACGTAGATCATGCCCTTGCGTATTGAATCAACTGAGAAATATAAACACCGTATGCAGATGATGGAAGTATAGTGCTACAAAAGTAAGGAAAGTTGACGATTGAAAAGTTAACTATTTTATGTGATATGTTCAGAAAAAATATTTTGAGAAACTTTTGACGTTATGATCTGGGGAAATATGTTTAATGGTAACAAAAGATTGCCTTTTTTCTTTTAGAATTGAGTAACACAATTGTTATTTCATGGCATGAAACATCGTCGGAAACCCACGGGTGATCTCGTCTTTACTTATCACCCGTGGGCAAACTCGCCAAAATATCGCTGTAAAATATGCTAATTTGTTGTTTTTAGTCAACCAATCAGAAAGTTGGAACTCTTCAATTTTGAAAAATACGTTTATTACTTTGCTATTTATGGTAAATATTTTGACGCTCGTTAAAACGTGCGAAGTTTGATTTAAAACAATGAAAATCAATTCGTACAGGTCACTGACATTAATATCCGTCAGATATTATGAAGGAGTACCTCTTTCTAACTGCAAAATGCACCGATGAGTGGATTTAACAGCTGTGTTAAGTACGGAATGAGTTTTTCATGTTTTTGGCAATGCCGAACTTGCATACGTAACGTGAACTGTGATTCGTTGTTACGCATCGCGACTCCGGAATGCGGCCAATCAAATGACCCATGCATATTTAATTACATACGACGATTTTTCGGCGAGTTTGCCCACGGGTGATAAGTAAAGACGAGATCACCGGTGGGTTTCCGACGATGGGCATGAAATGAATTAAAGAACTTAATATTTTCATGTATGACAAAATGCTTATATCGAATTTGTTCAATGTTGTATAATGATAAAACAGATAAACAACGTTTGCTACCTTTAAGATCGCTTTTAAAGTTTATGTTCACTCTTTATTTCTGTAATTTAATAAAAACGTTTAGCAAGGTGGAGTTTAAAATGGTTTTTTTTTTTTGTTTAATAGCCCAATTGTTTCATTCTCATAATTTGATCTACAAAAGTCTTAGATTTCTTGAAAATATCAATAACAGGTGTATAAATATTTTGGTAGCTACCATGTCTATTTAAAATGCAGACATATTTAGATTTTCTATGCGCAAGCACAATAACGTTTACAATTGTGAATTTAAATGCCAATGTAGGCCACAAGAATATGCAGTGATCCAGTCAAAATATGACAAAATAGACGTCAACTAACTACTTCCTGCAAGGTATTTTATCACATTCACAAAAACAATTAGATTTTCATTTAAGTTATATTTGTGATATTTTTTTCTTACTTTGGGCATTTTCTTTCACTCAGCCTACATGCATGTATTTTTATTTATTGGTCGTACATGTATCTCGTTCATCGCTGCATGAAAAATATACAAGACAAAAACGAAAGTAGTATATCTTTTGTAAATGTTGGTAAATTTAATCTAGCAGGAGCCTATCCAGAGCTCAATCTAAATTGAAAAGATCCTCCCTCTCCTACAAAATAATATTTTCATCTTATAGTGAGCATAGAAAAAGAAGAAATAACAGACTTAAAAAACTTAACTCCACTGTAAGAAACGGGCGTTCAAACCAGCGTGAGATCAAATATCATTGTTGGATTGTTGATTGGAATGTTATTATTAATGATTTTTAAAAGAAATGCATATTTTAAGATGGATAACGAAAACATTACCATAATTTACGTTATAAGCAATTTTTCATTCAGAGAAGATCTTTGTTTTTGTTGATTTAAATACCATTCTTTTCTCATTCTTAACTCGTTACAATGTTGTTGTAAATGAATTTTGAACAAAGGCAATTTGCAACTCTAAAATGTAGTGTATAAATCCTTCCATTTGGGGAACTGGACTGGATCTACTCTTTCAATGAACGTTTCTTCACTATCCTATGACAGTAAGGTACAATTCATGTTTACTCGTGCTCTCTGTTTCTTCCACAGGCTTCGTAATTAGCTGATCATTGTCTTTCGTTGCAATGTTTGGAGATCTTTGAGGCGCAAGGTAGCATGAATCGATATCTTGTTTCTCCGTGTCAGTATCGCATTGTTCGTCACTTAAGAGATTTGAGTTACCAGGATATTTGTAAGTTTCCATTCCATCTGTTACTTGATTTAGTGGAATCATGTTAATGCTTTGTAATGATTCGTATGATTCTGATTCGGAATTTCTTCTTTTGTAACTTTGTTTCGAACTATTTCTTTTGTTTTTGTTTCTGCTACATTTGTTTCTTATTTGTATTGTAACATAGACTGAGAGTATTACAACGAAAACACCAATTAAACCCAATACAGTAATCAGAGTCAAATAAAAAACGGAAAGCTCCGTGTTTTGGTCAACCGTTTTGACTTTTGTTGATAACTCCTCCTGTGTAAGACTTGACAATCTTGGTGAAGTGGCGTGATGGTCATAAATGTACGTCTCTGTAAATAGACAAAGTATCATATGCTACACTAACGTATGTTGATATGAAAATTTAATGGGCAAAATTAAAAGTTTTGTTTATGGAAGAATGCTATAGTGTTCGTAAAGTATTCAAAGTAAAAAAGAACTTTATTTAAAAAAAAATCGTTTTCCATTTACATTTCATACTTTTCCTAAGTATGAAGGGATGACTTTTTTACCAGTAATATATACTGTATATTATAATATCTGATCATTAACATACACAATTTTTTAAACTCATTTACAAAGTATAAAAACAAAGTTTTATTTTCCATGTTAATAAAACCAAGCAAAAACTGTATGTATATCTTAACTAACATTAGCATTCTGATAGTATTGCATTTATCAATACTAGTTCCCTATCGGCAATTATAATGCGGCTTCCGTTAAAATTTGCTAACATTCTGTCAAAAATCAATGAAGAGGAACGAAATGCAAACTTGACCTATTACGTATTTAGGTAAAGTCATATACCTGACCCAAAAATGAGCTTAATATCTGCAATGAAATACATGGAGATGACGAACAGTATTTTTAGCTCAAATGTCAGTTGAATAAGCATTCTGAAAATATTGCAAAAGCAATACATGTCCCCTACCGGGTTCCCCTTTTTCTTTAGGATGTCATTTTATGATATGCAAAAGTTGTTTTGATCAAGGTAAAACTGCTTGACGTTAAAATTTTGAGGTTGTGCATGCCTTTAACCTAAAAAAAAAATAATCCACACAAAGACGAAAATTCAACTCATTTTTATCGTCTTTTTCTCGCTTCATATTTACCATGTTGACCTTCGGATTTTAGCGCAGCACGAACTCGATCTTAAAATATTATGAAAAATTAAAAAGTCATAATTCTGTCAAAAATCAATGAAGCAAAACGACATTCAAACTTGATTTGTAACTCATCAAGATACTCTCACATACGAAAATTCAGCTCAATATCTGCAAGCGTTTAGAAAAAAGTGCGGAAAACCAAGTAGGACAGACTGGCAGACAGATATGGGGACAGATAGATGCAGAGGAAACCTATTGTCCCCTTCTGTTTCACCGGTATGGGACTAATAATACAAATGTATAGGAGAGCAAACACGATCCTCCAAAATTTCAGAGGTGGGATCAGGGGTGTGGAAGAGTGAGCATCCCCTGCCTAAACAAACCGTGTGCTCCTTGTGATGACCGTTAAATAAAGTAAAATCCACTTACAACTCAATGTGTAAATGATGGCCTAACAATTAATATGAAAAATGTTAGTCAGCATTTGACTTAATAATGATCAATTGTATTTGCTGACAAGACCATTGCATTGACCACAGAACTTATGTAAAGATGTCTATAAACAAGATTGCTGATATTCTTATACATGTATCAGTCATTTGTCTGTCAATAATTTATCTCTTTTTAGAAATTGTTCACAGTTACGTAGAACATTCTCGTAAGTATCGAATTACTGAGAGATATAAATCCCGTATGGAGGTTATAAGGGTATATTTCTGCATAAGCATTTAAGAAAAAAAGTGCATAAAAGTTGAAAAATTGCAAAGGTCCTAATTCCTTCAAAAAATCATTAAAGCGGATCGATATGAAAAACTTGATCTGTTTCTCAGTAGGATACACTCAAATACCAAATATCAGCTGAACATCTGCAAGCGTTTAGGAAAAGATATAGAAAACAAAGTGGGACCTGCTGACAAACAGACATAATCTCAGAGAAAACCTATAATCACCTCCGAATTCACCGCTAGGGACTAATATAAATGTATATCGACGATTTTGACTGTAAAAAGAGAAATTTCAAATTATTAAATGAGGGAACAGTAATAAATAGATTCACTGACCTGTCGGTAAAACACATCCTATAAATGGGCTACAGTACTGAAGAGTACAGTTGCAACGATACTGACATTCGGCACCATAGTTTGGATAAGAACAGATTTGTGAACAATCTTCTCCAAAATAGCCACTCTCACATTCTGTAATGCAGATACAAAAATTACCTTAAACGTGCATAATATAATTTCAAATATCCAATATTTCACAATTTTTTGCAGGCTCGCCTAAATTTATTATTTACTTCCTCAAAATATTTCTAAATAGATATTAACAAATAAAGGAATCAAATAATCTTATTTAGATAGCTAACAGAATAATGAGAATTAATTATGCTTATAAATGTGGTATTTTTTTTAGTTTTTATTTGAATTCCTTTTTTTTTTTTACTGTAAAATCATTTTAATTTATGCTACGGTAGAATTAATGAATTCATATATTTACAATCTAAATGTTCGTGGGCATTTAAATTCGTGAGAAAGTGTGACCCACGAAATTAACGAACATTGATCTCCATGAATGATAATAGGAACAATAATGATTCCACGATATAAAAATTTTAATGTCAATTTGTGCCTCAATATTGTCTTAAAGAATTTCAATTTAACTAAACATGAATCCAGAGATCATAGGGTGCTTCAATATCAACATGAATAAAACGATCTTGTTGTTTTAATTCACCTGAGCCGAAGACTCAAATGAGTTTTCTGATGCAAGAGAGTCAAACGTCTGTATGTTGTCCATCGTCTGAAAACTTTTCTCCAGATCTACTTGTCCAATTTCAACTATAGTAAACTTGCCAAAAAGCATTTTTGTGTCAATGGGATTTAAGTGTGTACAGAGGAATTACCACGTCCTGTTTCAAGGGGAGAAAATTCAGAATCCTGGAAATTTTCGTGACACCTTAAACATGTTAAAAAGATTTCAAGAACCACTATGCAAGAAAGTACTGGAGAGCTTCATTACATACTCCAGATTCAAGATTGTTCACATCATAATTCCTGGGGGTAGTACTAGGCAACAAGAGATGATCATGTGTTCACATGGAAATACAGCTATACATTGTATATATAGGAATCCTCATTAAAATTTTCATAGCTTTTGGAAAGTCAGGCATTCAAATGCTAGCAGAAGAAATTTAAACAGCATATTAACAAAAACTGAGGGTAAGGGATTTTTAAAGATTACATCCCATAATTCCCTTGAAAATTATACCCTTCAATGATAGATTAACCCAAAGTTTAAAGGCAATGAAGTGATCAATAAAAATTCTGATGTGCTTTTTGATAATGCTTGAATATTAATTTAATTAATCCAGGCCTGTTATTCAAGAGAACATTTTAAAGCTGTTTTTCTTCATTGTCCGTTTATAACTTTGATGATCTATTGTTGCTCAATCCTACCTGCTAGAGACATGCTTTAAACGAACTTTACAAACTTGAATTTACATAAACTCATAAAGGCTATGTAAAATGTCTTCTTTTTCTGTCTCATTGGTTCTTGTTAAGACTGCATTTTCCATTGGTTTGCATTTTCCTAATTATCTCATAGTTCCAAATGCTGTGCTTTTATTCATAATTTTTTTTAATTTCTTTGAACCAAGGATACATTTTGCCATGTTTTCTTGAAATTGTTGCAGTTGTTCTGAGGAAAGAGTAATACTATGGTTCCTGCGTAAGCAGATGAACAATAATTTGATCTAAGAATCAGACAAGCTCTAATGATGTGGCCTAAACAGATATGCGTTAAAGCACTTGTCATTTAAAATCTGTTCACAGCTCAACATTTTATTTCTTTGAATTAAAAATGATTTTATTCCTATAATCATGAAATATACTAGTATACAATTGTTTTATTTGTTCGCCAGGGTTCTTGTGTCTTTATCTCAAAAATTAGCCATGCATGAAACCTTAGAAAAATGCATGTGGATAAATCTCCGAAATATTACATCAGTCTGTAGTAATTGTAAAAGAGAAAAAAGTTTAGATGGTTACTTTGTAAGGAAATAAAAAAAGAATAGCTGTAATATCAAAAGCACTGTTTTACTATAGAGCTTCCAAGTACATGTAAATACGTAGATCTAGTTCCTCAAAGGCGGACGGATATAAATGAAAGAGATTTATTTTGTCGGGAAATAGAAATTACATACAAGTTGCACGTATTGTAAGTGTTTTGAAATGTATAATTTAATGACAAAATGAAGTTGTAAAATTTATCAGTTTCATTAATGAGTTAATAAGGAACATATAAACATTATTTGAAAATTAACATCAAATATGACATGCAAATTTAAAGAATTCTTGTTCCCCACTTTCGGTGTCTTTGTGGATGAGACGTAATTAATTTAGTATTTTATGTCAAATATGAAAGCCATATTATGCATTTATGTCATTTAAAAGTTATCACCAATTTTTTTTATTTATTAAGACAAACATGTAGGTCAATGGGTCAGAAATTATAGGGTGCTCGGAAATATCTTGTCACTGGTAATACACATGTCAAATATGAAAGCCTTATTACTCTTCTCAATCAAGAGTTATATAAGGCAAAATTAACATTTTTGTAAGTAGGTAAAACGTCAAGGTTCAAAGTCACGGGGTCAAAAAAATCATAGTGTATTTAGAAAGATCTTGTTACAGGTAGTATACACTTGAAATGTATTTGCAGTCTCGTTTAAAGTCGCCAATTTGTAAGTTCTACGGTCGATACAATGACCTTGTCAGCAAATACAATTGATCATTGAATCAAATTCTGAATGACGTTTTTCACACTAATTGTTAGTCCTTTATTTATACACTGAATTGACGACGAATTTGTCCGTTACTTCCCGATCATGACAAGAAGCACACGGTGGGTGTGACCGGTCGGGAGGGAATGCTGATTTCTCTGTGGCACCTGATCACACCTCTGATACTTTGGGGGTCCGTGTTTGCTCTACTCCTATTTTGTATTGTTTTATAGACTATGATATTGAATACTGCTCTCCAAATCTTTCAATTTATCTCTTCTCATTCAAAAGTTAGGACCGAGGTTTTGATAATTATGTCAAATTGTAAGGTCAAGGTCACGAGATCAAAAATTGTAGTATATTTAGAATTTTAAAAGTTATGGCCAATTTAAAGTAGTTTTTAATTTTTTTAAAGGTAGGCAAATCTTCAATGTCAAGATCAGGGGACTATAAATCATGCATGTATTATATTCAGAAAGGTCTTGTCACAGGTAATAAACATGTATTATGGGAAAATTCTATCTTTTCTCATTCAGAAGATATGTTTTTGTGACAGAAGGACAAATTGACTGACGGATGTACAAAGGAATGAGATTTAAAATATCCTCTCGCGAAATCGGGGGTGGGGGGGGGGGGTATCATTATAGGCATAAATGCCGAGAGAGAGTATTACTCACCCTTGCATATCCTGTTTGCATTATCCCAATAATGACCAAAACAGCACTCTTTTCCTCTTGACCTGTACAATTAAAAAAAAGAATATCAGAATTAATCCAGAAAATTCATTTGAAAAAAATGGCTATTACAAATTATATATCTAACGAACCTGGGACAAACACATGTAACTGATTGCATGTAAAGAACAATATTAAAAACAAAAAACAGCCCCATGCTGATCAATAAAAGCCCAATTTTTCAAATGATATAATGCTTTCTAATAATATCGAACTGTAGACGCCACGCATCCGGAATATCCCTAACTTGTAGCATCAAATGACGGTATTGGTATCTCATCATTGACATAATTTTTCATATTTAAACAATACAAATGTACCTAGCTTGATGTAAATTTGAAAAATTCTCACATTCTCCAGCAGCATCTTTCTAAACACCGTGTTGTTTACATTTTTTTTTGTTCTTTTCAGGGGTGGAAGTATAAAACTCTGGGAATAATGGAGTGGTTTCTAATATTTACAATTTTCTTTGTGGATATGGTAAATATGCATAGGATTAAATATAATAATATTTAATTAAATTTTAGAATCCATTTTGTGTCGAATTCCAAAACAATATTTTTATATTTTGAAATATCTCCTAAGTGATAATTTTAATGATTAACTATGCAAATAAGTTTTAAATTCAATTCGATATTTTTCATGGCGTAAACGTTTTATTTTCATAATTGTAGACAATGTACGTTCTATCAAAGAACTGTACAATTTCAACTGCAACTGTTCAGTATGTAAGTGCTTGCCCAAAAGATGAACTGACCTGGAAAAAAGCTGCCAAAACAAAGGACTGTGAAAGTCTCGCAAACTTTGCTGTATCAAAAGGATGCGTTAATAACCCTTCCGATTTTGTGTATCATTGTGTTATCAATCATTGGAGAAATGCGACACTTGAAGTCTGCGCTCCAACGCGATACATGCAATGTAAATTTCTCTAAAGAAAAATTCATATTGTAAAACTTAAGTTAAGTTAATTGTGTTCTATAATTATCAACAATTGTATCTAAATAGTAAGCAGCATTTTATAATACATTGTCTTGCTATAATTAGCCGAAAAGTGAATCTTGTATTTTGTTAAAGGGTTGGTATAGTTTAATAAAACACGCTGTAAAGAAATTTTTACAACAAGATAAACCATACACTTATCTTTTGTACAACTGTAAATTCTTAATTTATTTTTGATATTTTCAGCTTTCTGCGTTGATTTCGACACTGAATTAGCCAGAATTACAGAAAATTATAAGGCAAACTGCAGTCTTTTTAAACCACCTTGTCCATCCAGATATATTTCAACAGATGCCTACAAATGTAAGTTTGCATCATGTACACTACAATGTAAATTTAATTTTAAGGTATTAAAATGAACGGGTAGAAATAACAATGACTGATCTCTCTCTCTCTCTCTCTCTCTCTCTCTCTCTCTCTCTCTCTCTCTCTCTCTCTCATATTTATAATTCTCGTCCCTTAAAAAGATAAGAATGTCATATTTTTAGAAGTCAACCCGTTTGCTGGTGTCTGGATGGTTCAATAAAATATCAATGAAAACCTTTTTATTTGTTCTTTAATGTTTATTTTAATAAAACTCGTATTTTATCTTTTGGTACATGTATGATTTACTTGCAGATCAAAATTGTTATGACATCGTTAAATACAGAACAACGGTCACCACTGATGTCACAACAAAGACGACTACAGCTGTGACAGCAATTCATCAAATGCCGACAAAAGATGAACCTTTTCAAGCTTAGTAAGTCTTTATTTTTTTTAGAGCGTTATGTTCTTGCATGTGTTAAAGTGGGAGGCAAATAAAAAAAATTATAGAGAGAGAGAGAGAGAGGGAGAGAGAGGAGACTCGACTACTGTGTATATGCACCAAGGCTATATCTTTATGTGCATTATTGATGATGCAATGAATATATAATTATATTATTATTACTACTTACATATATGAAACATTTGGAGATAACGAACAGTATTCAAGATCAACATTCCATAAAACAATACAAAACAGGAGCAGAGCAAACACGGACCTCAAAAACATCAGAGGTGGGATCAGGTGCCATGGAGGAGTGAGCATCCCCTGCCTACCGGTCACATCCGCCGTGTGCTCCTTGTCATGATACATTTAATAATTGTATGAATCCACATCCCGTTGCGCCAATTTAAACTTGTTGAGTAAATTATGCATATTTACAACTAGTATATTACTCTGTAACAAATCTAAAAGAAATCTATCAATTTACTTTTGTGACGCCTCTTTTTGCTAGGATATAGAATTTTTTAAAGACACAGTCATGAATGCATACTAATTTTACATTGAAACATATGTCTATCAGTCACACAAGCCGTGTTTTTGTCATGTTCGAAAAAAAAAAACTGAAAAATCCGTTGAAAACTCTGTATGTAAATAATGGTCTAACAATTAGTATGAAAAATATCATTGCGCCCATGAGGAAAGGGTGCTTATGGCAATTTAAACGCATTTTGAGTTTTTCATGGATTTTGATAGAGCAAGGTTAGGAGTTGTCAAATATGATTTTTTATGGCCCTACTCCAACTCTAAGTATGTTTTTTCTTCATTTATTTTAATTACAATTCAATAGTGAAATCATGAAGTTGTGTTACTTTCCACCAACGTCAAACGTTTTCGGAGTGAACGTGAATGTTTTTTTGTAACGTTACTAATATATAGGTATTCATAGAATCATTTTTAATATATACAATTCATTTCTTGCTAATCTATAAAGTTGTTAAAAAGTAGTTGCATCAATGGTATAGACTTATGAATGTTTTAGTTGTTCGTTGTACACTTTACTCATGTGGAAACAGCAGGAAATTTATATCTCTGAAGCGTGCGGCTTCCGAGCAAGAATTGTTTTTCATTAAATATACTAGTATAGGAAATATATAAGATTTACTCGAAAGTCATTTCATTTTAGATATAGCTCTTTATTGAATGGGCCATGTATTGTTTTCTGGATGCAAAGATCCCGTGAAAATGACAAGACAACGAGCACGTTTTCTGACTCTGTATTCTGTATAACCACGGCGGAGAATCTACGTCATCGGACGGGATTAGGACACACAAAAATGGAGGACAAATGCTCCGCTTCGATGTAAGAAGTTGATATTTTTACACTTATAAAGAATGAATATTAAATCAGTATCCTGCCTAAAGTATGCCAAAGAACGTCAACTACAATAGACAATGTACGTTTGCTCGTGATAGAATCTTATTGTTCCAAACACTTCGACACAGTTTGAAAACAAGTGAGAAAAAACCGGGATGTGGGGTACACATTTTTAAAATTCGATCAATTATTCGCATGTCCAGATGTACTAGACATTTTATTCTTCCGCGTTTACACTAGAACTAATATTTTTTAAAAATCCAGATTTTTTAAATAGTTTATTATGCTTTAATTATCCAAGAAAAAAGTATAAATCATTTTGTTTTCAGAAATGATGTAGGGCACACCAACACTAAAACGGATATGGGACACACAATAAGTTACTTTCAAATTGAAACATCGAGCATTCATATCTTAAAGTTTCCATTTAAATGACTGCCGTTTGATAATATATGAACAATAATCTGTACAACTCATCTTTGTAATACTCATCCAAATACTTGATTCCCTTGGTTTGCTTGTATCCATACAAAAATTATAAGTTGAAAACGCTGGTCTGATCCTCAACAAAAGCTTCCAACATGAATTTTAAATTTTGACTTTTATTAAATTTCATGTAGAAATTTACCGGTGTTCACTTCTGCAGATCCATAGAAAGAGGGGGAGGGGGTCGAAGTCCGGAGATTGTGTTTATTTTAATATGATATTTCTATTTAAAGTTACACGACATCCGCCCCCCCCCCCCTCGAAAAAAAAACACCCCACCCAAAAAAAAAACACACACACACACACACACCTGTACAAACTCACGAAATAAGTTTTTTTTTAGCTTTGTTGCTTACTTTTTTACTTGTCAAAATAGTTTGGAGTCAGAAAATTCCTTAATTAGAATTCCCTTGGTTTGCTTGTATCCATACAAAAATTTAAATATTATAAGTTGAAATGGCCGGTCTGATCCTCAACAAAAGCTCACTAGCTGCCAAAATAATGAATTTTAAATTTTGACTTTTATTAAATATATTGAAAGATACTAGTATTTACATGTGCGGATCTAAAAGAAGGGTTGAAGTCCGGAGTCTATGTATATGATTTTACGTACTCTACGATATTTTTGTCTTAAGTAACACGACCCAGACCCAATTAAACACACATAAAATAGCTTTTTGAGGTTGATTGTTTAATTTCTTTGCTTGTAAAAATGTTTTGGAGTCAGAACTTCTTTTTCTGAGTTTGTGTGGACACCCCCTCCCCCCTTCGAAAAGTTTCTGTATTTGCATATTCAGTGTTTGTTTTTATTAGATCTTTGTCGGTAAGACTCTAGTATGTCAGCTGATAGGAAGCGGAGATTAGGGAATTTTTCTTATGCTCAAATATTTGCAACAACTGACAAACTTCTTTCAAAATTCTAATAGTTAATTACAGACTCCATATATTTGAGAAAAAAAGACAAAATTGAATATTGTACTCCGAAGATAAAATCATCGTATTAATTGAAAAAAAAATTATTGTTTTATTATACATGTGTCTTTCCTGATATACTTTATTTTATCAAATAAAAAATACAACATGACTATATTAAGATAGTCATGTTGTATATTTTATTTGATATCAGGAAAGACACATGTATGAATCAGTGATTAAATATTACGTACTCATAAAGCAGTTCATGTCATCTTATTTACATTTGCTGGAATATTAGCCAAAAGCAATGATAGGAGCAGGCTTAAATAAACATTACCAGCAGTATAAATTGGGATTTTTTTTGGTTGTAAAAAGTACTTTAGTAGCTATACATAAAAAAGAAATAATGTCAAGCTCTTTTATATGATAAGTTTTGAAGGCACCCACCTTTGATTGGCACCCACGAAAAGACAATTTTTAACTTCAGTTTTTGTTTTTGCCCTACCCATCACTGGCAACCACTTTCATACATTAGATTACTAATATTATGTTCATCTGAGTGCAAGCTAGGAGCAAAAAAAATAGCTTTCCGAAACTATTTGTTGCAATTTGGAATTTCCCGATCTATTTTTAGACCACTGTGTAGGGAAAATAAATTCTTATTATCACCTGGAAGGTCAGTTGTTGCAAATATTTAAGCATATGAAAAGTTCTTGATCTCTTTCCCATATTAAAAGACATGCTAGTGTCAAAGATCTTATTAATACCAATATGCAGATTTAAGAACTTTTTCGGGATGGAGGGGGGGGGGGGAGTCCACACAAAGTCCAAAGAATTTCTGACTCCAACCTATTTTGACAAGCAATAAAGTAAGCAACAAAGCTAATACAAACTTATTTCGTGAGTTTGTGTGTGTGTGTGTGTGTGTGTGTGTGTGGGTGTGTGTGTGTGAGTGTTTCGTGTTTTTTTTCGGGGGGGGGGGGGGGGGCGGATGTCGTGTAACTTAAAATAGATATATCATAAAATAACCACAATCTCCGGATTTCGACCCCCCCCCCTTCCCTCTTTCTATGGATCTGCAGAAGTGAACACCGGTAAATTTCTACATGAAATCTGATAAAAGTCAAAATTTAAAATTCATGTTGGAAGCTTTTGTTGAGGATCAGACCAGCGTTTTCAACTTACAATTTTTGTATGGATACATGCAAACCAAGGGAATCAAGTATTTGGATGAGTATTACAAAGATGAGTTGTACAGGTTATTGTTCATATACTATCAAACGGCAGTCATTTAAATGGAAACTTTAAGATATGAATGCTCGATGTTTCAATTTGAAAGTAACTTATTGTGTGTCCCATATCCGTTTTAGTGTTGGTGTGCCCTACATCATTTCTGAAAACAAAATGATTTATACTTTTTTCTTGGATAATTAAAGCATAATAAACTATTTAAAAAATCAGGATTTTTAAAAAATATTAGTTCTAGTGTAAACGCGGAAGAATAAAATGTCTAGTACATCTGGACATGCGAATAATTGGTCGAATTTTAAAAATGTGTACCCCACATCCCGGTTTTTTCTCACTTGTTTTCAAACTGTGTCGAAGTGTTTGGAACAATAAGATTCTATCACGAGCAAACGTACATTGTCTATTGTAGTTGACGTTCTTTGGCATACTTTAGGCAGGGTACTGATTTAATATTCATTCTTTATAAGTGCAAAAATATCAACTTCTTACATCGAAGCGGAGCATTTGTCCTCCATTTTTGTGTGTCCTAATCCCGTCCGATGACGTAGATTCTCCGCCGTGATAACGGAAATCGCAAGTGGCGCCTTGCGCATACTCAAACATATGTAACAGGGTTATGGAATCGTAAATAACGAAAACACCTGTCAGGGTTCGACACACTGTTTATTAATGGTTGTAGATATAAATATATTCACTATTGCCCTGAAATAAATAATAACAATATTAAGAATACTCATAAAATCATTAATGCACAACTGATTCAATATTACACACAATGCTGCATAAAGGGAGGTAACTCTTATATTCATTACACATCTTGACATAATATAATACTCCCTTAGAATTTACACTTTGTGCATATAGTTAAAATACTTTACAACAAAATATATATTACTATTAAAGCTATAATATCTTCATAGACATTATATACCTTTTAATAATTAACAATAGATCATAAAAACAATAGCATACCATTCTGAGGGAATAGGCAAGCTCCCATGGTTAAATATCATAAAGTAGTACAAGGCTGGGAGTCCAGATGATAACTATAAATTATCATAAACCTTATATAATTCTCTGATCATAAAACATATGTTCATATTATCTAGATCATAAAATACCCTAACTTTACTGCTAATAACTAAGTAAAAATCTGACTTCCAAAATCTCTCTTACTGTGCAAAAGTGCTATGGAAATTAATATTGCAAGAATTACAGATTTGACATTTAATGAACTATTTATTAAAGATATGTTAAAGTTAGTAAATAAATATTAGCTTACCAGAAGATGAAGAGAGTCTCAGTCAGAATGTCAAATTTGTCATGAACAAAATCAATGGAACCTCTCTACAAACAATCTGGACAAAGAGTGACCAGAAAGACCAAGAATACTTTGGAGGGAATTTGACAAACCAATAAAACACAAGAACACAAAACTAAAACCCAATAGAAACAAATAACTTATAGGACTTATGGTCAAGACCTTAATCATAACCCTAAGGCAATAACAGGGTAGCACTGTAAGTTACACCTGAATGACCATACACTTATCTAATAAGCTGAAATAAAAATATATATAAATAGAATACAAAATAATTTGATATTTATTAATTAATTAGAAATTAATTAATAAATCATCACTCTTACACATAGTGTATGTAAAATCAAACAATCAAAGGGCAATAACTCTCATAAAACAATTAGCAAGATAATGTAACAGGCCAAGATTTCATCAGTCTGTACTTGATTTTATGATAATTTGTTTTTGCTTACAGGGTCATTGTATCGAACTTACGAAATGATGACTTTGAATGAGACTACTGAAGTTTTTGTATCAGCAATTTGTCTGCCAATAATTTATCTCGTTTCAGAAATTTTTCATACGCAGATCATGCTCTTTTGTATCGATTCAACTGAGAGAGATAAATTCCGATTGCGGGTGACATGGGTATATCGATGCATAAGTGAGGGAAGTTAAGAAAGCAAATGTTAAAGCCATCGCATTTATCATAAAGCTTTATTGTTAGATAACCATTCATGTTTTTCCTAGTAAAATATTATACACTTATCCACTGGGTGTGAGTGGGATAGCTCTTTTATCAAACCCGCGACAGAGAACTATTCCCCGAGGGCTTGCCCGAGGGGAATAGTTTCTGTCAAGGGTTTGATAAAAGAGTTATCCCACTCACAAACAGTGGATAAGCGTTTTATTATACTGATGTATAATAAAATTTCTGAGGTTTGAATTTTTTAAGAGTAAGATAATACTGCAAGAATAATCTGAAATCCTGATGACGTCACAATGCTACTGAAGTCATTATGACATCACCAGTAGATAGATCTATCGTTGGAAATCAAAATTGGAGGCAAAAATTGCATGAAAATTTTCCGAGGGTGGATAGCAAAAACTATACCCCGGGGTATAGCCTTTCTATGCGTGAACTATAAAAGATAGCTATTTTACCTTCTGAACTTTATATAGGAAGCATTTTAACAGAAGTATAATAATCGAATATAATACAAATGTTTCAGATTCTGTGGTATCTATTATTTCAAGCTCAATGGGATATACCGTTTCGACATGAAAGTGTACAAAACTACATGTATTACATGACAATACTACGTCTATACATCTTATGTCAAGTGGAAGGTCACAGCAAGAGTTTTCTTCTTTTTAAACGTAAAAGATTTAGAATGAATTCTGCTTCATATGAATACAAAATGGGTCTGTTTTTAACGGGGCGCAATCTGTACCCATGGGAATTTAATAAATTGTTGGTAGACCTTGTCTCCAAAACTACATAGATAGTGTTGATCAAAAACGCAAGCATCTTGCTCTTGGAAATTTTTAGTAAAATATGTGAAATGAAATAAAGCAATGCGGATCCCTCTGTTGGCAGCTATTCTTAAAATATAAATTTTACCTTTATTCATGTTTACTTTATTAATATATCTTGCTGAAAAGAATTGTACTAAGAACTTTCTATTTAATATTTGCAACATCCTGCGTGATGTTATAGGACAAAATTACATGTATAATTCCTTTAGAAAAAGCTTCGTCAGGACCCTATCCCTGGCAGATGCCTTATTTCTTTTCTAGAAATGTTAGATTGTTTATTGTAATAGATTAGGGTCTGGAAAAACGTTTTAAAAAGAAAAGAAATGGAGCAATGGAAATCTCTTATGAAATTACAAAAAGGCTTAATTATATATTCATTGATTTCTTTACAGTGTTGTACTAATCGGAGCTGCCCTTATTGTCTGTGTCGTGTTCATTCTTGCAGCAATACTGGTCTTAGTGTTCTACTGTAGGATACAAAGTGAGTGGTAATTACTATAAATAGAAATCTTATTTTATTCTAGGGTACTGGAGACATTGGTGAAATATTTTTAAAATAATTCAATCCATACAGAGAATCCATTTTTTTATTGTTTTTTTTTTCTATATTTATTCTAGAACTGAAGAAACGGATTCACGATTTAAGTGAAGGTTCAAAAGGTAAAATATATTCTATAATTTTATTTATTTCAACATTATCATTTCCATTAGACCCCATTGCCTGAATTTTTTTAGACTTTATGTTATTTTTTATGTTTTCATATAACTGGAGCAGAAATTATTTTCTAACTATTTGTTTCAGATGGTAGTGAATTGAAAATATTGATTGATGGGAACCTTGATTTTGAAAACCAAGGTATAAACTCCAAATAAAAGAAATTTTTGTTTTCATTCTCTGGTATTAAAGGTAACAAAACAACTGCAATATGTGTTAATTTAAGTCTAAAACATTGTCTTTAGTATGTCTGTCGTATTTACAGGTGGTAAGGATGACACTTTTCAACAAGGCATACAAGGGGATAAGTAAGTAATTTAAAAACTGGAGTGTTAGTCAGTGTAACACTGAACAATTCAAATTTCAAAAATGATTTTGAGTTTTAGAATGTTAATATATAAGTTCAAATTTATTAAATTCAAAAACTCATACTGATTTGGTATACATGTATTGAAATTCAATATTTTAGTTAAAAAAATCAAATCTTAAAATGTCCAAACAAGTTTTGAAATTCATATTTTTTTAATAACAAGAACCAAAAGAAATGATTTTAAATGACTTTATCAATATGTAGCATACTCAGATAAAAGGAATTAGTTTTTGAGCTAGAATACGGTTCGTTATCTCCAAATATCAATAATGAGAATACGAGAAGAAAACTAAAGAAAAGCAAGGTGAATCTAACTAAAGTTTGCGTTGATATCAGTAATCTTCATATTAAATCACCGTACTGTAAAAATTTGATTGTTTGAATATGCAGTATTTTATTTACAGATTTCAGGATAATGAAATTGAAAATTTAGGTAAGATCTCTCTCTCTCTCTCTCTCTCTCTTACCCGACATAACCGACTTGTGAGGAATTGGGCGCATGGAATACATTGTGGGGAAAGTGCTTCCGTATGACAATTTTAATAAAATAATAGGCAATTTTTATGGAAAATAACTATATAACTATAGACTCTCCTTTATAATCCTAAAAATTACGTATCTGTCGTCTCAGTATGTAATCAAAAATTATGGGGAATGTTTTTTATCACTCATTCTTATGGGGAACGTCATCAGAACTCCTCTGGCTTTACTGTTGGATTTAACAATTATATCATTCTTGATGTTTTTGAACATTTTTCTCCTAATCCTCTACTTATTCGTGGATACAGTTTTACATAGACATGTGGTATTTTGATGTATAGTCTGTTTAAAATCGCTGAATAAATTTTTAACACTGAATAAATGACGTCACAATATTTACGAAACTCGTTACATTGAACATCGAGCCCGATTCCAATGTTGTCTACAAACATGCAACGGTTTCTATATCGAATCTAGGAACGGACTGGAAATTGATTAAGTTCATTTATATTTATGTAATAAAAGTAAAATAAAAAGGGAATATATCAAGGATGACAGATAAACGCTGTTGAGTTTTTCTGCATTATTTCCAACTATAACGAGACCTTTATCATGTTTATATTCTAGGATACAATGACATTTTTCAGGATGATAGGAAGTGTGCATTAAGTTTCGTTTATTATTTAATTAAAATAATTTAAATGTAACAAGTCATCATAGATAGTGAATTTAAACCCATCTACTCCTTCCTTCCCATTTTTTCCCGATCCAACATTTCCACAATTTAAATAAAATAGTTCTTGTCTTTAGTTGAATCGTTTCTCTCTTTTAAAAAATGGTACTCTAGTTCATTTCTCCTTTAAAAAACATATTTGTAAGATAATAAACGAAGTCCTCAATTGATCGATGAATTAGAGAGATCAATAAATCGTTTTATTCAAAATTATTTGTTAGCAGCATTTGTTGAGTTCAGTATATCAATTCATTTTCCAGCTTAAAAATTGTTTCATAAATTTTCAAAGTCAGAAGTTATATTTTTTCATTCAGTAAATCAATCTGACATTGTCCCCACGTTACGCAGTTGGGCGTGTTCGTTTGTGGGTGAATGGGCGTCGGAAGCAAATTGAAAGTGGGATGGCTAATCGAAAGTGGGGGATGGGGCTAAACCAACGAATAAAAGTAAACTAAAAAAATAATAAACCCCATGCAATTTTCAATGCTTATTTTATGTCAACCTTTGAAAAAAAGTGTGTGTGTGGGGGGGGGGAGCCCCCCTAGCCCCCACCCCGGTTCTGACGCATATGGGTGAGTGACGTAATTTGCATCGTGGGATCATTATCGAATACAGTTCTCTTTGCGAGGGGATACTCTTCCTTGTGGTGGCCTTGTCTTTTGGTTTAAAGCGCAAGGACAACGACATCATTTATTTCGTTCTGTGTATATAAGTGTTTTTTTTTTAATTTTATAATACTTACCATGTGCATTGTAAAGAACAAGACCTTCCAAAATACAAAATAAGGCTTTACCTCAACCTGATTCTTAGAGTTTCAACCAGAGACACCTAAGTGCATGTATGGAGCCCCATTATTAATGGGAAAACAGTAAGATTACTTTTAATTTTCAAAAACATAGGATTTTCCCGTCAATTATGTCAATATATTATTCTATAAAAAAAATTAAATTTTTCTTACGTACCGAGACGGACCAAATACAGTAAACCGTATATAGAGAAATACACAGCTCGCAAGATAAGAAACACAATTTACAAACAAAAAAAGAGACAAATTAGTTTTATTTTGAATAATACATTTGCAAGCACTATGTCAGAAAGATGTTTCCCTACTAGTATCTCTAACCTTCACTGCATCCTTTTCATTGAAGATAGGAACCAAATACTAGTAACAGGCCGGGGGGGGGGGGCATTCCCTGCCCTCACGTGGAATCTTTCAATGTTAGTTTGATAGTTGATAGGATGAAGGTCTTACTATAGTGATCAGTACTATATTTGATTTGCATATGCATTGTGTGACACTTTTGTCCAGTGGAGTGATGGTATATACCTGATGCCTACATGTATCTTTATTTTGTGGCGAGGTCAAATACGAAAAGGATCTCATGACCTTTAATGACCTTTAAAGATCAACAACCAGTCTCTTAATAGTGGCCCTAAAGTCATTTTTTGTGAAGCCAGTTACAATATGATGAGCGGCGTCGATATTGTAATGTTAAATTTTATTGACACTTATGGTACTTATTCACTAAATAAATTAAATTAACGCCTCTGTATTTAAATAGAAAAGAAAAATGCATGAACAGTTAAGCTTCGTTATCTCGAAGCTGATGGAACCATAGATCGGCTTCGAGCCGTCCGGGGGTTCGACATATTCAGGGTTATAATTCAAATGGACTTCAAATAAACAGGAAGAAATTTAACATGTCAAAATCCTCCTTGTTTGAAATTTCATTATGTATTCGACCTCTTTATATTCCATTTATCAATAGATTATTTTTAACAACGTATACTCTTTATAATTCTCAACATTCTAGTATAAACTTTGTTATTATAAATAAAAGTATTATCCGTCTATTGACCGATTAAATCACGTGTATATACAATGTATTTAACCGGATATCATCTATGCATTTAAGGATCACTGTCTTAGTATAGTATGCCAGGGCATTAACGACTGTGGGGAACGTGGGATAATCTGCATGACGGACGAAGTATGTTTCCCACTATTGTTGATGTCCCAGGCATGCTATATTAACTAGACAGTGATTCCTTATAATTTCATTGCATTGTGAAATAAAACTGTAGATTTAGATTTTTAAAAAGTGGACATAGATTTAAATTACACAAGGACCCCCATGCCAATTTCAATAGTCCTTTGCCACTGAATTAGAAATGTGAATATTTAAATTTAAACCCGTCCAGGATAATGAAAATGTAATTTTATCAGATTGATACATGTAAAATTGGTTTAAACAAAATTATTTTAGCATAATAAAATCAAACGCAAGAAATCCGATCACCTTTGTCTAGCTTATAGATAACGACAATAGGTTGTGAATCGGGTCCTTCGTTGGATAGCTTTCCAGGTACCACGATGGTGTGGTTTGTAGTATCTGACTGGCTTTACTATTATAATCAACATTCATTTGTTCTCTCAAAAACCAAATGTATGGTACAAGAGGTACATATACTAATCTCAGCGAGATGGGTAGATTACATATACTAGTATACATATTTACAATAATTATGAGCGAGAAGAAATTACAGGAGGACAGACAATGTCAAAAAATTGGAGATATATACACTTAACAAAACTTCTAAGTGTTCACTTCTATAAATGTATTTATGTATAATATTTTCAAATTATTACAACAAATAAGTCCTCTCAACAATTATAAGACCGCGGAACATTAACTGGCAAAATTGGAAATATACAGCTTACGTCATTTCTATCTGTTACAATTCAGTGATAGACAGCGTAATGGGCGGGTACAATTCGACGCGGATGTTTGGAAAACATCGGATTGAAATTGCAGATCGAAATTCATTTTCAATCCACCTGAACTGTTTTCAAAGCTAAGAGTGAATATATGATCCAAAAATCAACTAATTTTAACTCCCGAATACATATTGTTTGAAGTTCACATTAATACGAGTTTTAGCTTATAATTTTAGGGACGCGAAAGATGATAGAAGACATTTTTTTCAGGAGATATTTGATTCTAAGCTTGGGGGGAGGGTAAAAATTATCGACTCAGGTCGTGACTTATATGTAATGTTTACATGACAACAGATTTTGTTTCTAGGATTATTAGAGTCCATGAGTTTACTTATTCTCACTGAAAAATGTTGGACAACTTTATTTAAAATTGTTAAGCCTCCCTCCCCTAAAACAAACGTATATTTACCAAGCAGAAATGAAATATTTGTCCCTTAATATTTTTTTTAAAACACTGGGAAAAAAAATTCAAACTGTACCAAAATTGAAATTATTTGTCTTCTGGGTAAGTCAGTAACACTGTGGCTTCTACCGTAGTTGAGGTGGATTGAAAATGAATTTCGATCTGCAATTTCAATCCGATGTTTTCCAAACGTCCATGCATTTACTTTTGATAGTAGTATAATGTAGGCAATCATTATATCTATTCATATTTGAAATTTCACCCTGTATTATTGTGAACCAAGAAAGTTGTAGGTATTTAAAGTTTTAGCCAATCAGATTGCAGCACACGTGCATGTGCGTGCGTTCATGATTACTCTTATATATCATGCTGTAGACCTTCATAATGTAAGACTATGTTCAAAATTTCAAAGGATTTTGTAAGAAAACAAAATAGATATTTAGACTTTTAGTTTCAGCCAATCGCAGCGAAGGGCACCTGCATGCGCGTGAGATCTTGCTATTTTGACCATGTCATCATGTCTATACTACTATTATATCCTTATATTATGAGTTTCAAAGCATTTCATCCAATATTTAAAA